ATATTCACTGCTTCCGATCGGGGCCACTTCATCTTATCCTGTTTACAAATTGCTACTTGCCCAAACTTAACAAATTGCCACCTATTTGAATATTCGTACCATCTATTAGAATATGCTTGATTGAAGGTCTTTCTTCCTTCTTCTTTTCCCCTCCTTTTCTTCAGTGGTTAACTGTATATGCCTCCATAAAGTGGATAGGTAATTGCATACACTGAATTTATACTTTAACAGGTGACAACACTCTGGCTATAAAATCATTTTCAGACATTCATTAATTATTTGATATAAACTTAATTATTTGTGAATATTAAGCAATTTTCTTACAATAGATATGTATATTTTCTTTTCAAACACAAATAATTTATCCATAAATTTATGTAAAATCCGTGTATGCCATGGAAATTACTAATACATTTAAAGAAAATCAATGTAATATTCAAAATTAGATCGAGTATTTCAATGAATTTTGCAAATCTTAACAAAATTTTTTTATATAATTGAATCAATAAAATATTATACTTTCATTTTTTTTCAATTTAATTTTAGGCCATGCGAGATTGAATATGAACACAAGAAATCTTAAAAATAATTTCAATAGTAAGTGTTACTAAGCAATCATTGTACTCAATCGGAAAAGCACTGTACAAACTCATGCCAAATGTTAGACATTTAATTTGTGCAACAACATTATAAGAAATATTTTACAGGCCTAATATGGTTATTAAAATTTTGATTTATCACTATAATTTTATGTTTTTATAATTTTTTTTCATCAAAATAATTTTACCAATATTTCAAATACTTTTACGTTTTTATAATTTTTTTACATTATGATTTTAGATTTTACGATTTTTTAATCCCTTCCAATTTTACTTAAAATTTCAATTTTAACAACATTAGGTGCAACTCATCCGGTCTATTTATTTGAAAATCTATTGAAATATATAAACCATGGATTGAAAAGATAAATGGTTTCCTATCAGTATATATCTCATTTATTTGGAATCAAATCAAATAATAAATAATGATTCTTTAATTATAACAAATCAGTGGTGCGTATATGTTTATTGGTGTTAAAAATAAATCAACCTAAATTAGGTGGCCCCATTTGAATGGTGTTACATTTAATCACTACGAAAAATGATGCTGTCAATACACTTAAAAAAAAAAGCTCAAAAAACCAACGTCATAATTAATAGATGACTGCCTTTTTTAAATATGCTGCCAGAGGCTCAATCTTTAATCATATATATGAAAAACTCTAATCATATGTATGGAAAATATTTTGTTGATAGAGATAAAACAAAACTCACGCCTTCAAAAAAGTAGTCTTCTATTGTTCAGTGGGAGATATTTGAAGAAATTAAAAAGAAAAAAGGCACGTTTTTTGGCTGAGATACTCGGAACTAAATAATAGGTTCATGCTTCGCATTGACAATTAAAGTATAGACGCTGGATTTGTACAATTAGCAGCCGACACTCTCATCGCACATACTCTAAGTTCGCGGAAAGAGGTGATATATTAAAACGTGCATTTATGGATTAAGCAATTGAAAATATTTTTGTTGCATCTTTCCTTATCGAAAAAGGATATTATTATTATTTTTATTTTTATTATTATTATTATTATTGAATTACACTGTAAAGGATGCATAATTGTAATCGTTGATTAAAAAATCAATAGTTGAGATTGTATAAAATATAAGGACATGTATAATAAACTTTGAAGTTAAAATCTATTCTATATTTTTTTATTTAACTGTTATAACTCTACACTTTATCTTCTAAAATACACTTTTCATTTTATAAGAGGTAAATTCATTATTAATGTTATTATTTCAGTGAAAAGGAACTTTTCTGCTTTTGTTTGTTGCACAAGGAGATAAGAAGCAAATACTATAATAAAATCTTCATTGAAGAGACGTCCACACTAAGGAAATATCCACGGTAAAATACCAAAATTAAAAAATAAAATTAATAAAGATTCTTTGAAAAAATTACCACGAGTAAACAAATGTTGTGGTCTCTAAAATGTATTAAAAAAAATTCTTCTAAAATATATTTTAGTTGTTATGAATTGTAGCGACAGAAAATTGTAGCAAAAAAATAACGGTAAAATTCAGTGAAATGAATTGATCTAATTTATTGAATGAAAGGAATACAAATATATTAATCAATATAATTGATTTAAGAAGAAAACAGGTAAAAAATGGAGGCACAGTCTTGATAACAAGAGTAATACCAACTAACGTGCTAATCATTTTATAGTAATAAGTTAAACAAACTCTACCCACTCAGTGCCTAATCCTAATCATAATTAATTTCTAAATTAAGTAAATTAATAAAAAATATATGACTTTATGCATGAGCGGATAAATTCATTTAATATTCTCACTCCCCAAGTTGGAATAGAGTGTTATGCAGCGATAAATTCACCATATATAAAGTAGAGGGTTCTTGAAACTTAAGAGTTAAGAGTGCATAATTAATTCAGTGGCGGTGACAAAATTTAATTTTAGTTAGGGTCAAAAAAATTTGATATATCAAATTATCAAAAAAAATTCATAATTACACAAATTTGTTAAAAAAAATTTACTTAAAATTTTCAAAGTAATAGAATCGATGTTATTTAACAAATAATAGTTATTTATTTAAATGGTTCATTTTTTTACAGTCAATGTAGATAATTTATTTACATTGAGCCCAAAACGATATTATTTTGAGGCAGAAATCAAGGTATTTTTGTAATTATAATTTATTTCAAGGTTATAATAGTCTTTTTCATTGTATTTTTTTAATTTTTCAACCCAAAACGACATCGTTTTGAGAGAGAATGTAGATAACTTATCTACATTCAATTTAGAAACATTAAAGCCTTATTTAAAATTTAGAATATAATATAAAATAAAATTAGTAAAGAAAGTGCAAATTATATATACATATATGAAATTTTTACGTGATTTTTATGCACATTTTCATGTGATCTTTGATAACATTATTTCATGTGATGTTAATGAAAGCTTATTTCATGTGATGTTAATGAAAATTGATTTCATGTGATCTTTGTGAATAAATTTTTTTAATTTTTTTATATTTTAATTTGATTTGGGCCTACAAACATTAGTTTACAACTTGGTAGGTCTTACAAGTCGTATTCGATTTTTTTAGTTTTTTATAATATGGCAGGCCATATATCAAGTATTTAATAGGCTAATAGGTCAGTATAGGTTCCAAATATTTTACATAGGCTTAGTCTATTAAAGTCAAAGTTTGGTTTAACTTGGCCCATTTATACCCCTAGGCTCTAGCTGTGACCTGTGAAGAACATTAACATAGAGGTACAATGGGACAACAAACTTCACAATTAAAAATAAACATGGAATAATCAGCGACAAAAGTATAAAATCATTTAAATGACATTGGATCCACATAAATCATTTAATTAGTGTTTAGATATTTTAAAAATACAAAAAAAAGAAGAAGTTGTTAATGGATATGTATAAGAAAATTTCATACTCCATATATATACATATATCTTCATTGATTTTTTTCTTTAACAGTTTCCACTAATTAATAACCAAAATTCACATTCTTGTTGTGAAATAAAATACAAATAACACCAATAAACAATTCAATTCCATTGCCAATAGCAATTGTAGCTCTACCTTAAAATAATTTTTTTTAAAAAGGTAAACATAAAACAATAATCCATTTTTTCAAAAGAAATAAAATCAATAACTACAACCACAAAAAAAAAAGTTGTTAATAAAATAAAGTGAGCGTGAATTTCACTCATGTTAGAAACACCCAATAAACAATTATGGTTAGCAAAGACAAAGAATTTCACTTTATAAGGTTAAAAAATATGAATCAATTTTTTTCGCCAACAGAAAATATAATTACCAATGCATATTCCAAGAACAGGTATTCGTAAAATCTTGAAGAAATGAACAAAACATCGTGCCTTGTCGCAGAATGGCTGGGTTCCGGGTGGTGAGTGCGAATAAGAAAAAAAGGTTAGAAGAAAATCTCAATTGGAAAAAGATGAAAGAAGAAGAAGAAATTAAGAAGAAAGAAATATGTTATCTAGTCATACACGGAAAGCAGCTCAATATCTTCATCTGTTACTACTGTTACAATTTTAGCTAAGGTCAACTTACAATTTTAGGTAGGGCTTATAATTACTTATATAATTATATACACGAAGAAAAGTTATCACATTTGGGAATTAGGCTTTTGACTATTCTTTGTGTTCTATAACCCAAAACACAATAGTTCAATGGATCTTCATATTCCATAATTATAGTCCCGTTATTCATTTGATTTCATGATTGTTACTTTCAAGGGTTAAGTGTTTGTTCTTTTAAAGTACACAAATTGTGTCCTTTTAGTTTTTAACACTATGTCTTATTAGTAAAACATAATTATAACATGAAAAATAGTTTTTTTTTCTCTCCACATCAGCTGAAGTGATTGAGGAAATAGAAAAAAAATAATTTTTTATATTATAACTATGTTTTACAGATAAGATACAGTGTCAAAAAACTAAAAGGATACAACTTTGTGTCCTTTAAAAGGACAAACCTTTTTCCTACTTTTAAATGTGTTTATTTGGTTTAATTAGGCCCATATTTTGAAATAGGTCAACTAATAATTTTTTTAGAAGTCTTTCTTTTTTAAAATAATAGGAGTAAGAATAAATAACATAACTGATTAGAATAAAGCAGAAAAAAATATACAGGATCAAAAATAAAAAAAAGGTAAAACACAAAAATAAGCATACTATACATGTTCCTTATTATTTGTTTACATTTAGATGGTTTGTTATTACTTTATATTGAGTATTTGATTTTCTATTCAGATGGTGTCAAATTATAATTTTTATCTTAATTAATTATAATTAATTATATAATAATAAAAAAAAAAAACCGTAGTTCACCGTATATAAATAGAGGGTTCTTGAAAGTTAAGAGTGCATAGTTAGTTAGTTCGTTCTTGTTTTTCTTTGTCTCTCTTTCTTTTCTTTCTTCTCCACGAACCAAATTAAAACATCATAAGAAGATCAAAACACATGGATTGGGTTCGAGGAAACCCTGTTGGTAGAGGGAGCTTTGGCACAGTGAATTTAGCACTACCTGGTAAAAACTCAACTCAATTTCCAGCTGCTACGGTTGTGAAGTCCTCACAGGTTCTTAACTCGTTTTCGATAAGGAACGAGAAACAAGTGCTCGATCGCCTAGGTTCTTGCTCGAGAATCATTCGGTGCTTCGGCGATGACTACACATTCGAAGATGGCGACGAGTACTACAATTTGTTCCTCGAGTACGCCGCCGGCGGCACGCTCGCCGATCAGATCAATTTTCACGGTGGACGGATCCCGGAGCCACTCGTTCGGCGTTACACGAGGTCCATCGTCGAGGGTCTAACGCATATTCACCAAAACGGGTTTGTTCACTGCGACATAAAGCTCCCAAACATCCTCGTATTCGACGATGGAGAAATCAAAATCGCAGACTTCGGTCTTGCGAAGGAGGCAGGGGAGAAACAGAGTGAAGGGTTCGAGTGCAGGGGAACTCCGCTTTTTATGTCGCCGGAATCGGTGAACGACGGCGAGCACGAGTCGCCGGCGGATATATGGGCTCTTGGGTGCGCGATGGTTGAGATGGTGACAGGAAAACCTGCGTGGAATATGCAGAAGGGTTCAAGTATGTGTTCCTTGTTGTTTCGAATTGGGATGGGAGAAGAATTGCCAGAGATACCCGAAGAGTTATCACAAGAGGGTAAGGATTTTCTGGGCAAGTGTTTTGTGAAGGATCCAAGTAAGAGATGGACGGCTGAGATGCTTTTGAAACATCCCTTTGTTGCTGATGATGATGATACTGTTTCATTGAAGCATTTCAATGAGTCACCAAGAACCAATTTTGATTTCCCAGATTGGGTTTCTATTGTGGCGGCTTCAGTTCCAAGTTCACCGGAATCTGAAGAGGCTCCTCAATGGGAATTTGATTCGTCGCGTTTGTCAATTTTTTGTTCGCCTTTGGACCGGATCCGACAGCTCGTGACGGTTCAGGGACCGGAAAATTGGTCGGAAGCAGATAGTTGGATTAGTGTTAGGTGAAATTGGAATTTTCCAGGCAAAGGAACTTGAAGATTGTTCATTGCAATCAATGATTTCTGGTTCAATTTTTTGGTTTAATTACATTCGTTTATTCTGATTTTTAGGTTGTAAATTGGGTTTAGGATATACGTACATTCATGATTTGTGATCTGATTTGATGGAAGAGTTTTAACTGGCGCTGCTTGTGGCCAACTGTATAGAGAGGCTGATATTTTGAATTTTCTTTGTCTAAATTGTTTCTCGGGTAAATGAGTTTTAAAAGTTGGGTTTTTTTTGGCTCCAACGCTTTGACAATTTTGTTTCCATAGGGTAAAAGTGATTTTTTTTTTTTTTTTTTTTTTGTATATGTAAAAGTGATTACTGATTGGCAATGTTAGATACTTTTCTTTTTGTGGATTCCTTTGATTTGGTTTTAAATCTCAAGTGAAATTAAAAGGCTTTGGGAGTGTAACAAAAAAAAAAAAAGGCTTTGGGAGCACCTGGGTCTTGAAGGTGTTTGGTGCCAGCGAGAAGACAGCTCTTCCAGCATTTTGGAAAGCAAAAAAAAAAAAAAAGAGAGAGAAAAAGAAAAAGAGAATTTATAATACCTACAATATGAATGGTGAAAAGTAAGAAGATTCAAAAAAAATCTTACAATCAAATTTGTGTTAAAAACATAATCAACTCGTTTTGGAGTACCATTTAAATTTCGTCTAATTCTTATGAATATAATCATATATAAGAATAGGAAGGATGGGAAGAAAAGAATCGACTATTACCAACATCATACAAAGCATTATAGAATTTTGGCAACGTAGGAGTGAGATCAAAGTATTCTAGATTTTCTTCTTGTGGGAGAGGGCACAGATATCAGATCAGAACAATGCAACCGTAACTAAAAGGTCACATAACGAACACCCATCTTCGTATGACTTGTACAAACTCGAGGGCGAATTCACCTAATGTCAATTTTTCAATGGTAAAATTAAACCGAATTCACATAATGTCAATTTTTCAATTGTAAAATTAAACTACTTTTCGTTAAATTCGACTAGCGAGTGTACGTATACGTAGTCTTATTCTTGTATAGTTGCAAAGAGATTATTTTCTTGATTCGAACCCATAATCTTTTTGTCATAAAGGAATAGTTTTATCACTGCTCCGATTCGTCCCCGTTACGTAATGTCAATTGTGCAAGCAAAAAATTCATCATTTCGGCGATTTAGAAAAAAGCTTTTTAGAATGGTTGAAAGTAAAAAGTCAAGAACGAAAACCTTATAAATTCACTCGGTTAAAGCCAAAAGGCCCATAGAAACCAGTATTTGAGGATCATAAACAACGCCCAAGCTTTTTATTGGCACTAAAAATGTGCTTGTTTATACATCATATGATCCTTAAGTAGCATATAATGATATATTATATTGCCTAAATTTGTGTTACCCAGGACACTTCAGCTTTAAAAGGATTTGGATACAAACTCCGAAAGGATTAGCTCATGTGACAAGTAATTAAAATGCGTTGTACTTTTCTGAGATTTTCTTAGGGTCTAAAGTGGAATGAAAACGCTTTTTTTGTGGCTTGTCATTCAGATGCAGCTGGAATATGAATAAATACGTTGTGGTGTTGATGGCTAAAGACCCAATTTTTGAGCTGGAAGAAACATGGTAGCCCACAAAACAACTGAGATTTAAATTCTGTTCAGATGGACCAATTTGGAACAGTGTTTTGAACCAGTCCATGTGCAAGATGGGCCACACAAGTCTGTATACGATTTGGTTAGTTTTCCTTGGTGTTCCTGAATTTGTAACACTATTGACTGAAGCACATGTATGCTTTTCATGGAATTTTAATCAAAACTAGCTTTCTATAAAGTTGATATTCACATTTTTTATAACTTTTAATTTTTTAATTTAATATTTATCTTAATAATTTTTTAATTTAAAAATGATATTTTTAATATATTTTAATAATCACAAGTTATTGATAACATATACTCAAGCTATTGATATATGTAAATATTCACCTAATATAATGTAGGTTCATCCATGTCAATTCTATAACACTATATTAGGCGCCAGGCCATAATCAGGTTCAAACAAAAATTTGTCCAATTAAAATATAAGTTCAGGATTTGATCAAGTTAAACCTAACTGATTTTTACCACTTATATCAACCTTCATTGCATCCAAGGACATAGACAAGATTTTAATCATAAAGGAGCTAAGATAAATGACTAAATATATGTTTTCATAAGTTTAAGTAAAAGAAAATCTAATTATCATGCCATATAGGCACAAAAATTAAATAAATTCAATTCCAACTAACATGCTATAAATTAGAAATATTCATAGTCAATATAATTGAATACAAGACCTTTATAAATACATAAATTCACTTTTTAAGATGTGGTCAACGTTTTTCATAAAATAAAAGTAATTTATTATTATGTCCATGATAAAATTGTAAGCAATCTTTATTTTTGTACAAACAATTATGTGAAATTCAAGAATATTATCTTGCATCTTATTTTACAGCCTCGTTTTAACATTTTTTTTTAATTTCTCCACCAGTTTATTATTGAAAAGGAACATTCAATAGTTATTGCTGATATAGGAAGAGTCAAAACAAGCCGAAACAATCTACCAATCAAAAGATGAGAACTTAATTTTCCAATTTTCTCCAATCTTTGTAAAATGATTTTTTAATTTTCACCCATATCTTTTGTCTTACCTTCTTTTTTTATTGAGATCCAAAAGAACTATTCATACATCAAATCTTTAACGGGACCAGCAATAAAATAAGGTAAGCATATATTTAGTAAAAAGCTCAACAAGGGTTATAGTGGTTTCGTTCGACTAACTTAATATACACTAAATCAGTTTAAGAGGTATTAGATTTGACCATACAGTAGTGAGTCTGGTTTAATTGGAGTCTGAAGTAAGTTTGTAGCAGGATCTAGTGTGATTTGGTGCGTGATACTTCCATGGGATGGTTGTACTGGTACTTAAGATCTTTGTTTGATTAAGACAAATAAGGGATACACCTGTAAGATAATTTGATACTCAAGTCAGTATTTAATTAAAGAACATAGTGCAGATGATGATGATACTTGAGTTTTGAATCCTGTTTATATAGTGATGGCATTCAATCCCATTGGTGGATTCAAATAGCTTTTGCAGCCCATCCCATGTGCGAGATGCCTATTTGTAGACTAGGCTCTATAAATCTAGTTGGAACCATGTTTTTGTCCTTTAGTTATTGGCTGTTGAGGAGGCCAAAAAGCTTTGTGGTGTTGTTACTCTATGTCTGCAGGATGACGTGTATGCGAGATGAATGTCCTTTGATAAGTCTCTGAAAAGAGATCTTATTATATCTATTTTTATTACATTTTATACTCAAATGTCCAAGGTTGTTATTGATTTTATTTTGTTTTGCAGCAACCCACTCTTAAGCCCACAAGAAAAGGAATTCAGTAGAAAACAAGTTGGGCCCCAACAATAGTGCAACCCAATTCAAAAACACTTTGAGGGTCCAGAAATGCTAAAGGTTTCAGATTTCTCTTCAATGTCTTGACCACGAAAACCTTAGTCGCTCAGAGTCCTCATCTTTCCACCCACGTGAACCCTAGCCCTCACCGCTCAAGCCACTACTCTTGCCTTAGCCACAACCGCACACCAAATCCTTCTAACCTTTCATCTCACACCAACCACTTAGCCATCCATAAAACGTCCAACTCCATTTCTTTATTAGCCATCGAACCACAAAAGTCTTTCTTTGGAGCAATTAACTTGACCATTGATCTAGAAGTCTGACTCTAACCGATTGGTGATGTGGAGGTTGTTACAAGCGTTGAGAGGGATTCTGTTTGGAGGATCGCTTGAGGAAAGAGTGGAGCAACGAGTGCTCGTGTGGACTCGCAACAAGGAGCGCGTGTGGAGATTGATGCTGAAAGGGCCCAAAGCCCATGCATAAGAGAGAATCGAGTTTAAATAGCAAGGATAATTTTTGTAGGCTCTTCTTCTCTCGGACCTTCTTTTGGATTTTTATTTCTTTATTTCATTTCTGCATTTTTGGATATTGCAATTTATGGTTGTTGTTATGTTATTCTGCATGTTGAGCACAATGACGAAGCTATCTCTGTGAATAACATTCGTATTGTAGCGTTAATATTTCTGCAATTTCTATTTCTTTTATAGTTTTCCTTCATTTCTGTTAAATAGTTCAGTCCTTATGGACTTGAGCTAAACCTTTTAAGGGTTGGGTGTTTGAGACCCCAATCTACAGTGAATGATGCAATTTACCCTTCTGATATAAATGTTTACTTTCCGTAGTTCAACTCTGCTTATTATTTGAATGTTGTATCTATTTCGGCCGAATATATTATGTGTGTGTTGGGAGAAGTGTATTGGTAAGTATCCGTTTTTGGAAATTGAGTTGAATTCATGGACTCAAATAAGGTTTTATTTGAGGGTGAATTTCTTATCAGATTTTACTCATCCATGTGGTTATGAGGACCTGAGCTTCAAGCTCTTAATCTCATTAACTTAGGGACAAATGTTTGGGAAAAAAAGGAAAAAGATTTTTAAGGGATTACAAATCTACAAATGTCTGCCAACGAAAAAATAATTTTTAAAGATTTTTTCTTAAGTAAGTTGCATCAAGAGCTGTAGGTAGGGGTGTCAATATGGGTTGACACGACACGAATTCGACACGACACGAATACATCAACACGAACACGACACGAATTTTCATTCGTGTCAAAATCTTCAACACTGACACGACACGAATTTTTTGCGGGTTGACACGACACGACACGAATAACACGCAAAATAGGGGACAAAACGGTAATTGACAAAAAAATTTTAAAAAATAGATCGAAAATAAATAAAAAATAAAAAATTAATAATAAAAAAATAAAAAATTAATAATTAAAAATAATACGGGTCGACACGAACACGAATTCATAAACACGATCACGACACGAATTTTTTGCGTGTCATTTTTTCCAACACCAACACGACACGAATTTTTTTACGGGTCAACCCGAACACGAATTTTCGTGTCGTGTCGCAGGTCGACCCGCGTGTCAAAACCCATATTGACACCCCTAGCTGTAGGGAAGGAATCAAAACCCAACCCAATTTTTCCAATTAGAATTCTTAAACTTTTTGCCTAAAATTCTGATTTCCTTTTACTCAGTTAAGTTGTTTAAAAATTTCTTGAAAATATCATCAACAGAAAATGCCAAAAATAATTTTCTCAACTTATTTTATTTTTTTATGCAGTGAACAAGTTCTTTTTGATATCACTTCTTAATTTGAAACCTGTCAGTGAAGAGTAACTTCTGATTTCTCTTATTTTCAA